AAAAAAAAAAAAAAAAAAAAGAAAGAAAAGGGCAAGACACTGAGGAACCGGGACCACTGAATCTATGCCCAGTTCGGCAAATACACGAGGAAAGGCTTGTTCTCGAAGGACTCGCTCAAGATGGGTCGGCGAAGTGCCAATAATTCGGAGACTCGACTTTTGTGGCAGACTCACAGATTGTCTGATTGGTCGGGACCCACACCGCTCCAGGCAGAAACAGAGTTTTTCGGTCCAGATCCGGAAGGATTTTTAGGGCTTCTCAAAAGGCTTGAAGAGAAAGGGATGAAAAGTTGGAATGTCGGCCAGAAAACAGCCTCCGAGCACTTTCACGGCATTTTCAGCCACTAGCAGGTACTCGGTATGTATATAAGTTCCCCTGGGTATCAAATATCGTGCCTGGCCTACAGTAAGTGCGGATCGATCTGGGGACGGACGTAACTAAGGACGGACAATGCTCCGAGCGATATATCTGATGCACTGCCCGGATGTCGCCGGGAAATCGTGATCGATATCCACCGCGTCCTCGACTCTTCGGTTCCTCCGCCCAGACTAGACGCGCTTGGGGAAACATCTCCGGACGCTGCCCATGAGGTTCCTGTCTAAGATGCCTCCACCACGAACAATAGATGAAGATGTCTGCCCTGGTGCCTCGGTGTAGTGCAAAAAGCGCCAAATTAATATGTGATATAAATTCGCCCTTTTCCGAGCCGTTGCGACCGTGAGATTCGTATATTCGTCGTAAATCCTTCCCTTGCTTCCTCATCCCTCTTTTCGCTCTCCCCGCGAAACCATGAAGGGCTCCTGGATGTTGGCCGCCGCCACTGCGGCTCTCACTTCAACGGCGTTTGCTGATGATTCGAACTGCTACTGCCTCCCTGGAGATAGCTGCTGGCCCTCCACGTCGTCCTGGAAATCGCTCAACTCCACGGTCGGTGGTCGTTTGGTCGCAACGGTACCCATTGGTAGCCCCTGCCATGATCCCAACTATGATGCCGCTGCTTGTGCGGCATTGAAGTCCGACTGGACTACCCCACTGCCTCAGTATGTGCTACGAGTTATTCTTGCTTAATGATTGCCAGTCATCGCCTGCGATCCCGATAAAGAGAGGAAACTAACGGTAATCACCGATATAGTCTCGAGTCGTCCTCCTCGATCATGCAGACCTACTTTGCCAACCAGAGTTGCGACCCCTTCACCGCGCAGTCTCGGCCATGCCTCTTGGGCAACTTTGTCAGCTACGCAGTCAATGTGTCGTCCAGCGACGATGTCATTGCCGCCATTAACTTTGCCAAGGAGAACAACATCCGTTTCGTTATCAAGAACACTGGTCATGAGTGAGTTGTCTGGGGAATTGGGCTGTTTTTGGACGAAGCTGACAAGGTTCCTCCAGTTATATGGGCCGTTCGACCGGTGCTGGCGCTCTCTCCGTATGGACGCACCATTTGAATGACATTGAATACAAGGATTGGTCGGATTCGTACTACCAGGGTCCCGCATTCAAGGTTTCTGCCGGTGTGATGGGATATCAGATCCTCAACGCAGCCCATGCGAAAGGGCTCGCCGTTGTGACTGGCGAGTGCCCGACTGTCGGCCTGGCTGGTGGCTACATCCAGGGCGGTGGTCACTCTGCTCTGAGCACCAAGTTCGGTCTGGGAGCAGACAACACATTGGCCTTCGAGGTTGTCACCGCCGACGGCCAGCTGGTCACTGCTTCTCGCAGCCAGAATTCCGATCTTTACTGGGCTCTGAGCGGCGGCGGTGCTGGTAACTATGGTGTAGTCATGTCCGTCACCGTCAAGGCTCACCCTGACGCCAAGATCTCCGGCGCTGGCCTCCAGTTCGCAGCCACTCCCAACAACACCGAGGCCTTCTGGGAGGCCGTCGCCAAGTTCCACACCCTCCTGCCCGGAATGACCGATACGGGCGTCACCGTTATCTACCAGATGGTTTCGGGCGTCTTTGCCATCAACCCTCTGACCGCGTACAACAAGACCGCCGACGACGTCAAGTCCATCCTGGCCCCCTTCACCACGGCCCTCGCGGACCTCGGTATCACCTACAAGGTCTCCTACACCGAGTACGACTCCTACTACGACCACTACAACAAGTACATGGGTCCTCTGCCGTACGGTAACCTCGCGGTCGCTACTTACCAGTACGGCGGCCGTCTGATCCCCCGTAACGTACTCGAGAACAACCCCACCGGCATGGCCTCCGTGCTGCGCAACCTGACCAGCCACGGCGTCGTTGCCGTCGGAGTCGGCATGAACGTCTCGCAACCCGGCAACGTCTCTAACGCCATCTTCCCCGCCCTGCGCAACGCCGCAGTGACGATGCAGATCGGCACAAACTGGAACGAGACCGCCCCCTGGTCCCAGATGGTCACTGACCAGTACAAGATCACCAACGAATACGTGCCTCAGCTCGAGGCCGTCACCCCGGGCAGCGGCTGCTACCAAAACGAGGGCAACTTCCGCCAGCCCAACTGGAAGGAGACTTTCTTCGGCAGAAACTACTCTCCTTTGCTCAAGATCAAGTCCAAGTGGGATCCTAACAACTTCTTCTACGTCCTCAAGGGTGTCGGCAGTGATGCCTGGAGTGTTTCTGAGTCGGGTCGTATGTGCCGGGCTTAGTGATTGCTTTCCTGCGTTGCTTTCTTTTCATATACAATACATAGACTGATATAGACAGCGGTTGTTATCTTACTTTGATACCCCGTGATAAAAAAAAAATTAGTTTCTAATACTCTATGAGAATTAATGAACATATCTTGCTATATTCCAACAGGTCTTCGAATCTCTGCCTATACTACATAGTGGACTTTTGTTACGAAGCAGAGGGCGACTGAACGTGGATACAGACAAAAACATCGTAGGACAGGCATGTCTCTTCGCCGCCGATCTATGGCATGTTGGGCCAGGCCATGGATCCCAAATATGAGGACAATTTGATGACCGACTAGAGCGGCTGTGGTTGCCGTATAAGCTCTGGCGTCGAAGCCACGTGTGCGATAAGGTTAAACTGCGGCCCTTTCTATGCATGAACCCTACTCTATTAGGTATAATGTCCGTATCTAAGTGACTAGCATTGCTAACCACTCTTAGTGGAGCATGGCATCAGATCTAGAGTTGACCCAAAAAGGGGTTTACTGAGGAGACCACTTGAACCTAGGTTGACAAACAAATGAGTAGAATCTATTAAGTAGTATGAATTAACTATAGACAGGTGATGACCATTCGGGATCCCTGTAAGATTTTTCTATATGCATTGTCCGGAAACGATGTCTAGTCTATTCCGTGCGGACCGAGATAGTATTGCTTTGAAATCGATGCTTCCCATGCTCTTATACAGATGAGTCATGCTTTCGTCTCCGTGTAGCGTCCGAATCATCCTGTAGCTCAAGGAAATCGCCTCGTTCGAGGTCGCTCTCTCCCAGCCCCTGGGATGAATTCCCCGGTCTCCCACTGCTGCTGTTGTTGGCGCCTCCGGTGGGACCTTTCTCATTCGTCGGGTCTGGACTAGGCAATTCCTCGTCGTAGCCATGCACACCTCCCACACTTTCCATAGTGAACGGACTAGCTGTGGGAGCATCCAGAGCGTTAAGCTCCTCTGCGGAGAAAAGCCAGGGGAACAAGAACGCCCGGACAGGAATAAGCAACAGGATAATAACCGGAAACCCAATAGCAGCGATAGTCTGGGTGATGGCAAAGGTGCCACCAAAACCAATAAGTTCAACAACCACAAACAGCCAGATGGACCAGCGTCGTTCCAAACGCTTCAGAGGATGCGATGAAGCGGTGAACCCGTGTTCTTGGGCCAGGAAAATCAGCTTCTGGGTAATACCATTTCCCTCGAGTGCTTGAACGCCCATGACGAAGAAGAGTCCGGCTAAGACGCCCTGCGGGATCAGATGGATGACAATGAGCAGTGGTCCGGACATGGTGCCTAGCGTCATTATTCCTTGAGCTAGATTGCTGAAGCGCTGTTCGACGACGTGGTCTATCACTCGGACCACTTTGCCCTTGTTTTCTTCGTTCTCGTCTGCGACTTGTCGGGTTACACATAGCGAGGCTGTGTGGAATGGTGCTTGGGGGATCAGTCCGTTCGGGGCTGGGAGGCCCAGGATTCCTGCTACTCCTGTTGTAATTCCTAGGAGGAACATGTCCCAGTGGAATCCGGCGGGTTTGCGCAGGGGAAATTCGCTGCCTTGTGCAATGAGAGAGGAGACTGAGATGCAGGGGCACACGGTCAGCATGATTGTTGCAGGGATGAAGGGAAAGCATGAAGTGAAAGACGCTTACCATTGTGGTCAAAGTAAAACAGGATGGTCAAAAGCAATGCGAAGGGGATGGCGAGGAAGATATCACCAACACTAAGATCCCAGAAGCGCACCAACCAGCCACGGTCCGCCGTGGGGAAGAAGGATTTACTGATCGGAAGAGTCGAGACGCTCACATCACGCATATGTCCGAAGTGAACAAAACCCGTGAAGAAGACGATAGTCAGTACGGTGCCGTAGTCTTCGATGAACTTCCGAACCCAACGATGGAAGAGGCTGCTTTTGCCGATTTCACCGCAGACCCAGCCACTCATGAGAACTAACAATGCGACCATGATGCTGAGATATGCGGATGTCTCCCCATCTGATCCCCATTGTCGGGTGAGAACCTGGATACCCTTCTGGAGATAGACAAACGCGACATAGAAACCGAAAATATCGCATGAGAAACGGGTGACGTACGTCAATCCATTACACATGTTAGTGATGGCGATGATCCAGTGCATAATCAGGGACCAACTGCATCGCGACGAAAGAACAAAACGGTGTCAGCGAGTCATACACCCCAACTCAAAGACTGGAGCCGCACTTACATTCCTATCCATGCCATGAAGCCCAGGTAATTGGTGCCTCGCGGTGCTATGATATCATAAACCGTGTAGTTGAAGACTGTGATCGGACCTGTTTACATGTGTTAGTCACCAAGCTCGGGATATTGGAGAGCGATGCAGAATTGGCACTGGCATATATCCACAACATGCAGGGCACTGACCAGTAACACCAACAATGACGAGCGGCTGTGCAGCGAATAATGAGAAAACAACTGCCCCAAGCACTGATGAAAGTAACACTTCGTTCACGCCATAGTTCTGGTGAGTTTTCTCAAACATATCCAGTGAGAAGGCCAGGGCCGGCAGGATGCTACGACTGTGTTAGCATTGTGTTCAAGATACAGCCTCATTGTAACATTGGTGCGTTGATGGATTCATCAGAGGATTTTTGTCGTCGATGGACCTACTTCGCAAAGAACATATAAACCGTTGCCGGAACCACTCGATAGTCCCAAGCATCGGTCCAATCGCTTATGAAGAACGGAGCTCTCCTCTTGATGTCGTGGATCATGCCACGGAAGAAATGTATACGCCACCATCTTGATTTCGTGGCCGACGTTGCAGCAGACCGACGAGTGGCGTGTCGCGACAAGCGTTCGGGGTCTTGTGAAGTGTTTGGATCGCCCATTTTGCTCCGGCCACCGAGACCGTGGTGCAACGTGAAGATAACCCTTCAGGGCTTGGATGAGTGAACAATAACGATGTTCTTATAGAGACTCCACTCGGAACTGAAAAACTGGATATTATAGGTCGGAGAGAAGAGTTCCGGTTGGGAAAGCGAATGGTCAAAATCACTCCCACGCGAAATGAGAAGCAACAAGTATAACTTTAAGAAAAAAAAAAATAATAATAATAAATAAATAAATAAACAAGCGCAGTCGGCGAGGTGTACGACTTCTATATGACTAGTAGGAGATTTTTTGCCTTTTTAACCCTCGGGAGCACGAATCCATTTCTTTTGCCGCAAGCCAGAATAAAGGCAGGTGGAGACACGCTTTAGTTGGTCACTGGCAAAGGGGATATCGAACTAAAACTAGGATCATCAGAAAAGCAAGAGAACTATTGGTGGCCGGCCAGAGCCTGACCTCAACATGCCTGGGGTCCTGGCGTCGGGGTAAAAGATTCAGAATGGCGTCGGAAAAGTTTTCGCGAGATCCCGTGCCTCTCGCAACCCTCAAGAGCAGGGTGACAGATGCAAGTAATAATACTTTCACGAGTTGTAATACCTACTGGTTCTAGGGTCCATTCAGTAGAGGGTTAAGGGAGAAAAACAACTTTATCTACACAATCCAGGGACCTTCAAAATAATACCTGCCAGCTTCTGGACAAAATGATATCCTCACAGGACCCGCATTTTCATTTCTTGCCCTCCCGAGGTGGGGATGACGCCAAGCAAAACTGACCGCAATCTCGCCCTTCATTGGACTGTGTGGGTCAGTCTGATTGCTGCCCGGGCAGAATTTTAGTAGATTATGATTGAGTTGAAGAAGGCTTCGCTGATGCAATCATTAAACCATCGCTTATCTCTAGTTCTCTGCTTCCTGGTCCGCCAAGCGGCTGATGGAAGTCAGATTATACACAGTAGACCTACAACGATCAAGCTACTTTTACATTACACATAGAGACCACAGGAATAAGGTAACAAACACAAGGAGAAAAAGAAAAGACAACCACCCAATCCATAATGCAAAGACAGCGCATCATACATTAGAGGAAAATAACTCAACACCATACCCGTCGAGCATTTATAGCGACACATCTGGTGAAATCTGGCACGTCTGGTAGACATGAATGCAATTGAACATATCACTAGTATCATTAATCGTACAGGTAAAGTGGGTAACAAGTGAGCAAAGTGTCCACACAAATACTATGGACTATATGCTGGCGGCATATCCTCCGTAAGGCCACTCGTATACATAATATCTTCCGACGGTAGGAACCTCCTGCCTGTGTAGCCTACCTGGATGGGTAGCTCCAGCTTCAACGCGGCATGGCCGTGCCCAGAAATAACCATATATAGTTTCAGGCTGTATCTTCTGGAAACAAGCATGGAAGAAAATGAAGGTGTAAGGTATGTGGGACTGCGGCACTTGAATATCAATTCTGCCTCGGATTCCCAGGTGGTTTCAGTGCCTATGCAGTCGATTAGTCACTCTATACCTCAGCAGGCTACAAACTACCGATCTTCAAATGAGCTGTCCCAGGAGGAAATACTAACCCATTTCTAATGATGTCCAACGGGAAAAGCAAAGCTTCCTTAGCTGACTCGAATAGGACTTGCGCGTTTCGAAGGTGAACGGAAAGGTGGAAGCATCACATGTTGCCGGTGATCTTCGTTGGGGTTCAATAGAGACAAATGTGCTAGCCTTCAGATTCGAGCGAACTATCCCATGGAGCTGCCGCGGCGGTATCCGCATGGCGTCGCCCTTCTTTAACGATTCATATCGAAGCCGCAAGCGTACTGATGTGGCGGCGCCCTCCTTCTCCGGCGAAAACTCAAGAGGTGCTGGCTCATGGCTATAGACGTGAAGTCTCCCAGTCGGTCGAAAGAACGGGTTGCGAAGAGTCTTCAAGGTAGAAAGTTTGTATTCTCCAGGGAAGTCTTCGATACAGACAGGTGGTTGCCGTCTGTGAGAAGCCCACAGTGTAAATGGCCGAGTCGTGTCCACCACACAGTGCCCTTCAGCTAGGAGTTGGGCGCGTATTCGGTAGTCAATACTGCAGGTACCCTTGGAACCCGAGATCGTAGTCCGATGACTAGCTGGCGAGAAATTGACATTGAGCGATGAGGGGATATCCTGGCCGAATTTGTTCGATACAGGGCCGCTTATGCTTTTCGGTATCAGAAATCGGAAGTGGTAGCATTGGTCTACGTTGCTGATAAACTGTTGCTCTGGATAGGTCACGTTCAAGTTAATAATCTGGTTTGCCGAGTGCCCTCGGTGCTGGTCAGCCATGTTGTCCAGTGTCTTATTAAAGAGACGCCATGCCTTTTGATGAATATATGTGTGATAGAGCATTGTCGGGGATTCTCCCGCCAGATCGACATGATTGAATAATGTTCCTGTGGTACGTAAAGCCAGTCAGATCGAGAGTCACATAAGGTGCTATCGCTCTTTCTTTACTACTATGGTTGACATCTACCTTCTAGGGTTACTTTCACTATGCCAGATATCGGAGTCCTCAGGCCTTTCGGTGACACAATAACTGTTCCTTGGACGTGTTGACCGCTCTCGAAGATGGGAAGTTGCCCGTGTTTGCGATGGTCCGGGGTCCATGGTGTAGAGCCGGGAAATGATATATCCAGAGTAATAGCCATTGTGATAAGGCCAGGCTGTGCGCGGTCGGCTCGAAGAGGCCGGATTGAGCGATGCTCGTTCCTCCGTCCATTTCAAGAATTGCAGTTCCATGTTGTCATTCTATTATAGCCCTCGCAGCGGTGAGACTTACATCGTTTACTGCATGGTCACCAGGACGTGCGAGGAGACATCACTTCCCTCTGACTAAAAGAATACCGATCTGCCCACCAAAATTTCTCCGGAAGAGACGCCCAAAACCCAAATGTTAGAGTTACTGCTAGCTACAAAGTGTTCGGGACAAACGAGATAAATATTGAAGCGAACGATAGCAGCTGCTTCCCGGGCTCGTTTGCAGTTGCGGTGTAACACGATTACGTTTAACGTGCATGCGACAAGTCCGACTGCTTGCGTGGCTGGAGGATGATGTTTCCTGGAAACACGTCATGCTAAAATGCGAAATATGACAGGTGCGAGTAGATCGTTCAGATGATCTACAATACGATCTACTATCTTCCTTTCCCTGCATAGCCTCGAAAGTCTAATTCCAATATGATTAGCATTTTTAACTCTAAAATGCTTCGCATGCCCCACCAGTGGTATTCTTTTTATTTGTTGGCTTGTATAGATAAGCATGGATATGATCTAGCGTAAACACCTTGCTATCTAGTGCATAGTGCCTGGGGAACGACGAATAAAAGTGCAACATGGTTCAGTATTGTACCTTATCTACTTGCTCCACCGTATCTTGTGTGTCTAGACTCTAATAGCGACACTATTTTTAGCCTAGTGAATGAGAAGAGGCATCCACCGATAGTGATTAGCTCGCTATCTCGAGTGATAATAATAGCCTCTCCGATATGTGGCTATCATGTGCAGTATATTAGGGCTTACATTATATAGTTGACCGATAGCACAAGCGCAATTACAAAGCCCTTTCAAATAGTATCTTGCCAGCATCAAATCTAAAACTCTATACAAATTTCTATACAAATCTCTATACAAATCATCTCAACCTCAATCGCTCATCGCTAGCTAGGGAGCAATCCCACCATCAATAGAAACTACAAAAACAAGGGTTGTAGTCTATCACACTCCTGGGCCCGCAATGAGAGTCTTGATCCCGTTCCCCAATCTCACCTCCTCAAACGCCCGCGGCGCATCCTCAAATTTGAAAACTTGCGTGATCAGCGCCTTCACATCAATTTTCCCGATAGCAATCAGCTCAATAGCGAGCTTGTAATCGCCACTTGAATATCGGAAACTGCCCCGAATAACGAGCTCCTTTGTGCATGCCGTCGTGATTGGAAACTTGACTTCCTCCTTTCCCATCCCTCCTTGAATATACGTTCCACCAGGTCTCAATATATGGATACCAGTATACACCGATGGCTCCGCGCCAGAAGCCTCGATAACAACATCTGCGCCTACTCCGAGTTCATTCTCTTCTTTCAGCCGAAGAGCGTTATCCGCCGGAGAGGAGTCCATGCCCGGCAGAAAATGAGCAGTTGCCGCATAGGCACGGGCGAATTCCAATCGTTTAGGCTGTACATCAACAACAATCACCTTGGAGGCCCCAAAAGCTCGTGCTACCGCACAGCACAAGAGGCCGACGGGCCCTGCACCAAATACCACCACCGACTGCCCTGGCTGCAGTGCGGCTTGTCGAACAAGATGCACTGCAACACTGAGGGGCTCTACAACGGCGCCTTCTTGCAAGCTAACATTCGTGGGCAGCTTGTAGCAAAAGTCCTCTGGCAAAACATAGTACTTGGCCAAGGTGCCGTCGAAAGGAGGAGTAGCAGCAAATGCCATCTCGCTGCACAAGTTATAGCTCCCTACTTTGCAAAACGTGCATCGTCGGCAAGGCACTCCTGGTTCTAGGGCAACATGATCGCCCACTGCCAGTGATTTCACTTTAGATCCAACTTTCTCTATTACTCCAGCTGACTCATGGCCTAGCACCATCGGCTTTTCGAGGATAAATTGGCCAATTCGGCCCCTCTGCCAGTAGTGGACCTAAAACAGGAGTTAATGCCAACCCCTTGCGGTTGCCTTTTCCAGACGCAAAAATAAATACGAAACATACATCACTGCCGCATATCCCTGTGTATTCAATCCTCACGGAAACATCGTAGGGCTCTAACAAATCCGGTACCGGGCGATCCTCGAACTCGAGTTGTTGGACAGCTTTAAGCACCAACGATAAGTTCTGGAATGGTAATGTCAGGTAAGGAGTTGGAATGGATCTCGAGCTTTTAACTGTCTCACCTGCTCTTTGTTGATCATATTTTAGGCTATATTTGAACTAATATATGTGGCTTTGGGTGCTCAAGAAAAAAAAAAGAAAACTAACAAGCCGACACAACAATTCGACCCGTCACACCAGGGGATCCGCCCTCTCTTTAAAGCTTTCATTTTGGGGTAGGATCTATTAGCAATTTAGTACGATATATTTCTCCAGTTCATGCTGTTTGAACTGTGGAGTGCGGGAGGCCAATCTCTCTCTACAGTTGACAGTATAAGAAAATGGCATTGATCGGAATAGACGGCGTTTTGGCCGAAGGGAAAGTGGATGAATGTGGATCTCCGGGGAGAGAATGTGGATCCACCGATGCATCCGGCCACCGAACAGCTTGGATCGGTTGGAAATCCAACGGCAAAAGACGGCGTGTGCTCCGTCTGGTATGTTCACCGATTTATTCTGGGGTCCAGTTCCATAGAACAGCACATTATCAGCGGTAACATTCTGAAGTGGCCCGACTCTTGGTCTCAAGTATTAAGTACCATTGTAGCTCCCGTAGAATCCTAGAACAACCAAATTCCTAGAAATCAACACACCATGCAACTCCAACACAGCTACTATATCGGCGTTGATGTGGGCACGGGGAGTGCACGCGCTTGTGTCATTGACCATACCGGCGAGATAGTCGGTTTAGCATCTGAAGATATTGCTCTCTGGCATTATGGACAGGTGTACTATGTGAGTTTCTACCCAGTGTCCCCATGGATCAGGTGGGTGACGGTCGATCATTAACCTAGTATATATTTGGTGATAGGAACAATCTACCACAGACATCTGGCGCTGCATCTGCTTAGCAGTTCGTCGCGCGCTCGCCGAGAATAAAATCGACCCATCGCACGTCCGTGGTATCGGTTTTGACGCGACTTGCTCTCTTGCTGCCTTCTCCACCGATACCGATGAGCCAGTCTCCGTTACTGGGCCCGAATTTAACAATGACCGGAACGTGATCCTGTGGCTGGATCACAGAGCAGGAAGCGAAACAGATAAGATCAATGCAACTGGACACAAGGTGCTGAGCTACGTGGGAGGGAAGATGTCGATCGAGATGGAGATCCCCAAAATCCTGTGGCTGAAAAATAATATGCCGGCTGAGACATTTGCAAAGTACAAGTTCTATGACTTGGCAGATGCTCTCACTCATATTGCGACCGGTAGTGAGACCAGGAGCTTATGCAGTCTCGTCTGCAAGCAGGGATATCTGCCGAATGACCCTGAGAGCAGCGTCCCCGGTGGATGGTCGGAGGACTTCTTCGAGACGATTGGACTTGGTGATTTCAAAGAAAATGTTTTCTCTACAATTGGGGGGAAACATGGAGTGGTGAGTTGGATTGGGCAGGCTTTTCCAGCGGTGTCACGAGTGTCTAATGCTTGTTAAACAGAATGGTCACCATCTCCATGCAGGAGAGCTCGCCGGCTATCTATCCGAGAAAGCATCCAAGGAGCTCGGTCTACCAATCGGCATCCCCATTGGTAGTGGTGTTATCGACGCCTATGCCGGCTGGATAGGCACGGTCGGAGCCAAGGTTGATCTCCCCAGCAACAGCAGTGACAAGAGACAGGAGCTCTTTTCTAGACTCGCAGCGGTAGCTGGAACTTCCACATGTCACCTCGTTATGTCGCCGAATCCTGTTTTCGTGCCTGGAGTTTGGGGACCGTATCGAGATGTTTTGCTTCCCGATTGCTGGATGGCCGAAGGAGGGCAATCTGCAACCGGTCAGCTACTCAAACATGTCATTGAAACTCACCCGGCATATAATCAAGCGAAGGATCTGGCTGAAGTACAGAAGAACAATATTTTTACGTTTCTAAATGATCATTTACGAGACATGGCGGATAAAAACAACGCACCCTGTGTCGCATACCTTGCGCGCCATTTCTTCTACTACGGGGACCTCTGGGGCAACCGATCTCCCATGGCTGATCCAAAGATGACGGGCTCTATCATCGGCTTGACGAGCGATACATCAATCAACAGTCTCGCCATTATGTATTACAGCACGTTGGAATTTATCGCGTTGCAGACCCGACAAATCATTGAGAGCATGAATCGGTCCGGTCATCACATTACCTCCATTTTTATGTCGGGATCTCAATGCCAAAATGACATTCTAGTCAACCTAATTGCCTCTGCCTGTGACATGACTGTTGTAGTTCCGTTTTATGTGAATGCAGCAGTGTGTCACGGAGCCGCGATGCTGGGTGCTAAGGCTGCGACCGCGGATGCGAAAGGAAACACAGCAGATCTCGAAGAGATTATGGAGAAGATGAGCAAGCCAGGGAAGTGTTTCTTCCCAACTGAGGATCAGAGAGAAAAGAGTTTGCTGCAGGCAAAATACCATGTCTTTCTCGACCAATGTCAAAAACAGAGAGAATATCGGGCTTTGGTTGACCAGGCCCTGGCAAAGTGAGCCATGAGGGCCATGGATACACCAGCAGAATGAAGGACGTACTGCACTAGCAGCTCAGTGGACAGTGAATCAGAAGACCACGAAGCGCATTATGGCTTTGGTAACTCTGGTGTTGTGGCAATTAGGGTACGCAACAACGGGCATACCACGGCGATTTGCCGGTCACTTGTCACTTGTACCCCATCAAGGTTCAAGGGCTTAACTTGATACTTACTAACGGCCAAACTATACTATCATACGATCTTGGAATGAGATCAGCTAATCTATAATTGTTTATGAATCTTCTATAGGCAGGCAAAATGGAACATAATGATGACGTCTATTTTATATGTGCTTTGGTCCATTTATATATATAGAGGATTGATTACCCTTCGGCAAAAGTGAAATGGCAGACCTCTCCAAGATCTATGCTAGATTGTCAAGAGCTTAATCACCCGTACATCGGAATTTCTCGTGCTACATGGCAATTTGACATCCAAGAATGTATGGGGCTGAAGTCCAGTCAGTACGCATAGTACGCATGATACCCGCTTGAGCTTTTCATACAGGTTTGCGACTATACAAAAACATACTCTGAAGCTTTCCTTGTGGATAATCTGAAAGGTAAAAAAAAAAAAAAAAAAAAGGAATCAATAAAAAAGAAAAAGAAAAAGCGTAATAAAAGAATGTCGAGGGTGAGAAAGTAAAAGCAAAAAGTTAGTGCATCATCCGTGAATCGAACACGGGCCTCATCGATGGCAACGATGAATTCTACCACTAGACCAATGATGCTGTTGAGCTATTGGCTCTTAATGAAGGCCTTCACTTTCTTTTGTTTTATATTCCAAAACCAAGGGCTGTCGTAAAGCTATGCGCGGCTTAATAGGTGAGCTGTATATCCCTCTTGTACATTCACAGTTTTCTAAATAGTGTTACAAGTATAGAGTGGTTGCAAAAACGGCGATACTGTACTGGGATGTAAAATACAATCATGTATACCTACAGCTGTACAGCTCGGATACCGCCGCTATTTTTGCAAGGGTGCAACGGATGTCATGTGGGCTCATTCATTGTTTTTCTCTATAAAGAGTCAACTCGCCCATCTTATGATCAATGATGACCATCTCCAAAAGTTATTTCCTAATCCTCCAAATCAGAACGAAATAATGACTGCCACCAACTACTACGGTCCTGACCCCAACAATCACCCTGACCAAAAAGAATTATCTAATATCTTCCGCAACCTGAAGCCCAGCACAGACTCTGCCTTTGTCCTGGGCTGCGATGGCGTCCTCCGAAATCTGACGATAGACCACAACGTCCTAGACGCTATTGGTCTTCCACCCCGATTGATCAAAGCCTTTCTCGATCGGGGTCCATTTGACCCACGGATGGAAGATATGTATCGTGGAGTGGATGGAACCAAAGTACCGCAGGAGCAGTGCTGGAAACCAGATCCATCGTTATTACCACTACCACTGACAGCGGAGGAAAAAGCACGGATAAAGAAGGAGAACGAGGAACACAAGGACATTATCCAGGAGAGTATTCGGAAAATGGAAAGTGGTGAACTGAAGCCGTGTGGGGTTGCTATTCGGTCGAATCATGATATTCTGTCGTCGTCCTAGGTAGAGAGAGGGGGATGATATTGCACAGTTACGCAGTTACTCAACTCATTCCTTCTCTAGTTACGCAGTAAGACATGCCCTGCTAAATATATAATTATTAACTATCACTATGTACAGGCGCATTCTGAACAACAGGTTCCTTGGAGGGCAGATCACGAATGTCGCGCTCTCCTGCAACAGTAGGCTCCTCATCCAGTGCATACGTCCCCTTTCCGTGGCCTATATCCGTCCTAATCAGAGTGTACCTCTTATCTAACTTCATCAGATGGGCCGCCCGTTCAGATGCGCTCCACGAAGAAGTATCTCTGAAATCGTCCAGCATTTTACTCTTGGCGATCCAGGGAAGCATTGAACCAATTGATCGGGGACTCCGGGGGAAATCAAATCTCCTCTTTCGTGTGATAAACACATACATGAGGACAAATGTGTCAAAGGAAATAATCAGGAAGACCACGATAAAAGCCGGTCGAACCGGAATAAAGGACATGAAGGTGTCAAAAATGGTAGCATCGGGGACTGACACGGGTTTAGACAGGCGATTGAAATGAAAGTCACGATGCAACGTAACGTCGGTCGCAAACACTGTCTGGTAGACTAGGGTTGCTGCCTCGATCAAGAGGTCGATATCGATTGTGGTTGAATCGCTCGTGTTCTTCTGCTTGTACACATGGGCTGCCAAGAGTCCGAACCAGTTTTGCAGGATTTTGTGACGGTCTTTCGGAGTATAGTGCGTGATATTAGCTTGAAGTGGGTTCGCAAATGCTCTATTGTAATTAGCCAGGCTTGCAGTGACGTTTGCCAGCATGGGGCCCTCCGTGATGGCGGTTCCGTTCATAGTATCATAGATCTCGACATATCCACGAAGGTCGAAGGTGGCAAGGAAGGTTTGGATCGTGGCACTGGACTCGCAGTACAGCGCGGCAATATTCTCTGGGGGAACTTCAGCAAGACCAGCCTCGTTTGATCGGGCAACCACCAGAATCCCAGGCCTTCGGCATAAGGGGTGCTTCTGGTCTGATTCGGTCGGGACGATGAAGTCGACGTTAAATGGCGCTTTCGAGCTACTTAGGGCTGATTCCTGCGCACTGATTCGACAGGTTGCATTTGGATGCCCGGATGGGGAATACTGCCAATATGTCGGACCCGAAAGAATGTCTTCAGAATGGCTGTTTGCCATAGAGAGTCGTTGGCACATTAGGTTGGCACCAATACCGACTAACGGGCTGGTAGCCCATTGGTCTTCAGTCATGTTCGACTGCACAGGAAGCAAGGAGTGGGTTGTAGTAGTCCAGGGAAGTATAGATATGCCAGTGTAGATGCTGCTCTGGAACAGATCGGCCTCAGCCAAGATCGAAGTGTGATTGCCGACAGTGTAGGATCGATCGTCATATTCCGATTCGACAATGTTACCGGTAGCCATCGGGGTGTACTCCAGGGCGAAGAGAGCGCTTGCAAGAACAGTCAGGATCGTGTTGAGGATACACGTCAAAGATACAAGACCAAGGAGCACATAACGACGATTGAAACATCTTAGAGCCACGGCAAATGGGCTCTGAGACCCATAGTCTAGTAGAAAGGAGGACCGAGCAGTTGCGTTTCCCTTTTGAAGTATGAACCAAGGCTCCAAAATAGTGAAGTTCTGGTAAACTGATATATACAATCCCCGTATGAGAGCAGCACTTGCGGGAGGGAGCAACATCCATATACTTCTTAGGTCGTCCATTTTGATATCAGTCAAAGGTGGAAAATACCCATACTGCCAGGACTTCGAAATAATAATGAGCATGCCTCCCAGTGCGGCAAGAAATGCCGATATTTCTAGGATAAAGACAGGGATCATGAGGAAAGGGGGTGGAGGGTCGGCCCTTCGCCGAGATCTCTTTGGGCTTCGAGGAGTGGAGTCTGTGATACGTCAATATCAATACCATCGCTTTCGCAGTTATCCCAGCTCAGCTGGACTTACCATCGGGGAAGGAGATAGCCAGACGCTGTCCTTTAGGAGTTTCCCTCCAGCTACAGCTGCCTGTGCGTAGATAGGATCGAAGCTGCCGGGTCGACAACACCTCGAGTTCCATCTGGGACAGCTTCTCCAGGCTGGTAGCATCAATAACATCTGTAGCTATGCAACACATCGATGCGATGGAGGCAGGGTTGCCGCCTAGAAAGTTTGGTCGACGTGGGTACAGATAGAGGAGACTCGCAACAAGCACCACTCCAAACGTCAAGATAACTGCTGATATGCGGACACTACTCTTTTGGACAATCAATGCAACCCGCTGGACGATACGGATGCCCTTAACATGAACAGTCTGTCGAAGGTCAAAGGTACGGCTCATCAAAGGGACAAACGACTGACTGATGGCTGCATCAACTTCAGACCATACGTCACCTTGGGATAGCATTCCGTACTGATCGTCCATATTTTTGGTAGCGACTGCCATGCGCAGCAGTGAGCTGCTAAACTTTGCCGTATCAAAGCCAGTCTCCGACAGATTTGTAGCTGTATCCGATTGTACATCGATCAAAGCGACCGAGCCATTCGCATACAGTGTAATTTCTGCCTCGGCCGTCATATAATCCACACTGCACCCAAATGGACTAAACCAGTCTGAGGACTTGTTCGAACCATGTTGTGCGTCTAGTACCGCTTGATTCGCATGCACCGCTACCCCGACTAGGTCGAATTGCCCACAGAGCTTTGGGTTCTCGTTCCATTGCAACAGCTTCCAATATTGTATTTGAGGAGTGTCCATCTCTTCCTCTTGATCGGGCCGTGCGGTACAAGTTTCGAAAGCCCCCGCAACATTTGCCAATCGAGTACCGTCTTGGTCTGACAGAAGAAGCTCAGATATGGGCAGTCTTTGTCGATCCCCTTCCATACGTGATAAATCCGCAAATAAACCATTGCCATCGACATAGGCACACGATACATCTGCCCAATATACCGATTGATTCAGCCTCCACGTGTCATCTTCGGATCCGCTATTCCAATATGTCTGAACCGGGGGCATCGCATATCTTCTGGATCCAATTACATCGCTAGTCGAATGGGCATGGTTGATAGAGAGGGCTTGGTTCGCCATATTGTGAAACGTCCAGTAGGCATGCGTGTCTAAATTGATGAACTTGGGCCAAGTTTTTAGCGTTTGCGGGAAATGCATAGAGACTACCTCTGCGCTGACAAGGTTACCCAGGACTGCTGGGAGTATCAACTGCAACGAAATACTCAGGATTGACACGCAAAAAGCCACCCAATGCCGGTTGCGGGCTGCCTTAAATGGGGTCGTTGTAAAATGGCCGAATACGTAGTTGAGAAGCAATGTGTCAGCTGAAGCGCCCTTGGGGTTTGATAATAGGAAGTACGGCTCAAGTCGGAGAGCATCGTACTCGGTGAAGGACCACATAACACCTATTATGACACCCATCACCATGGGCACAAAGGTGTATGCCACTTGTTGTGCCGTAGCTATGTCTTCGGTTGAGCTAAAGATTGCGAGTCCGCCTCTTGCAGCACTACCCAGGTAAATTCCTCCTATCGTGATCAACATTGTCAACATGAGCCCGGCCAGCGAGCCCAAGTAAATGCCGCGAAGCGTGGCAGGACGCCACCCCGGCGCTCGATTTCTGTGTGGCATCCCGATATAATCCTTCCATTGTCGCATTGGTTTTATTGTATCCTTGATACATTAATTAACGAATCGCATTATGGATGCTGCCCGAGACAGCCGAATGAATCGCAGCGAAACGCCTTCGGTATAGGGAACATCGCCAGTGAAAATCCGTCATGGGCCGCAGCGGGACAGTTGCGTTTCCAGAGTAATCTGTGAAACGTTTCCAATAGCCCCTAATCGTTGTTGAATTCTCTCTCAGTCAGAAGAATAGTATTGACCAACTTCAACACGTTTCCGGGCCGAGTAAAAGGGGCAGAGACGAAGGATAAAGCATATGACATTCAGCTTGGCAGGTGAGAATTTCCTGTGGCTTTACGAGGACCCTTGACAGGGTCTCGCCTCCATCCGGTGGAACCCAACTACCTAAAAGACCATGGCAATGAGTGGGTCTAGACAATTTCGTTGCCTTCCTTCCGTGCTTTTTCCTTGCCGTTGGTCCCCATATGAAAGTAACACAGTTGGATCTCTAGACGCTGTGAAGAGGTTCGAAACGGGCGGATACACAGCTTATTGGCGATCATTTCGTAATTCAACCTGTTCTAGAGCCTCTTGGTTCTTTTTTGACTCATATCATGGTCAGGGCTCGGCGACACTTGTGGCGGCGGTGCTGTTGGCCTCAAACTTTATTGATAAGCCTAATGACTTTAGCTTGAAACCGCGCCTCTTTCAGCTCGAACAAGGAACTGGATCCCACTGAAAAATAACATCTTGTTCCAGTTTCCCCACTACTCATACTGTGTACTAGTAACTCCACTCTCAACTGATCAATGATCAATCGGCCTGAGGATCCAAGATTATTGCCGCAGTTCAGTTAAAACTGGCCTGAGGTTGTAAAGCTTACCTTCCAGGAGAGATTTCATTTCTTTAGTACTCACACATACCAATTTAAATGATAAATATCCATCAGCAAGTAGGGCAAAGACCCTATTAGTCTACACCCACCATACCCGATCAGGTAAGCCAGAGCAGCACCGAGCTGAGCTTCTATGAACCTGTTGATAATCAAATCACATACAATTGAAGGTTTTTTTTTTTTTTTCTTCCCGGAGACAGAGAATTAGACAATAATCAACAATGATGGCCGACTATCTACCTACCTCCCAGTTGTCATTGCCAACTCTATTCTAAAATAGAATCTTATGTATCCTTTGGGAGCTTCTGGTTTCTGGATAGTGTATTGCTGGACGAAAGATTTCTAGGTGACTAGATAACTCACAAGTGATTTGATCAATCAAAATAGAAAAAACTATTCATTTCATCATGCAACGCATCCTCTGCTATCGTGAGGTAGGTAATAGTATATCCTGATAATTTCAAGGCTTCCAAAAGGCGCCAATATACAAATTATAAACAAGTATGTTTCAACACTGTACAAACGCAATGAAGACTGGGTGGATCCCATGTTAAAGAGAGCTCAATATCATTCTTCCGCACAATATCAAGCCAGTCAACCCGTACGGATTCCATCGTCGTCCTCCTGGCAATCCGCAGGCGCCATAGCTTCTCCAAAACCAAAAGTTTCACATGTATTCAGATCACATGATGGTCATCTTCAGATAGTGAGCTAGAACCAAAGGAGAGAACAACAACTTTATATGACAGAAAGGATCATATTATCACATTCTGATGACTCGTTACACTCTCGTTACATTCACGTAACAAAAAGCGCCACTACTACATTCCTGAATCCACGTGACTCAATAATGTCAAGCATTCTATGCCGGATACTTTCCATATGTGATTCAGCTGTAGCTTCGCCCCCCGCGAAGAAGAGCGGGAAAAGTAATGTGCATTCTGGTAAGCTTCGCATTGGTATTTGCGAAATGCTGTCCACAACGGATGCTACCTGTGTAGTAGCCTTGGACGACAGTTCGTCCCTTTGCATGGGGAAAGCTCGTCGCATCACTCGGTAAAGGTATATTAGGGCGGAACTGTGGTAGGATTCGGCGAGTTGGCGCAGGGAAGGATCGGGTGATGGGGGGCATGTCCAGTCTTTCAGCCGAGTTTCGAGGGAAAGCAATCTTTCTAAGAATTCAGGTCTTTGAGCTGATCCTACTGTATTGACAGACGCGATACCGTCGTCGTTATCACAGTCAAGAGATGCTGGCTCGTTAGACGCCTTCACTTCCTGGTTCAGCGTGGCTGTATGAAAGAGAATCTCAAGGATCTCGGATGCGAGGCCAAAATGTGAGTCAGGCATCTGTGTTTCATCTAGTCGAAGGAATTGGTGTGATTCCAATAATGGTGCTCGGTCGCGTGCGACTGCCATCATGATGTCGCGGTATGCAAAGTTGCGCAGTAACCAGCGGCCGGCATGGGCGTCTTCGAACTTTTGTAATATCCGATCTACGGAACTCACATTGGAACCATCCTCAACGGCTAACTGTGATGATATCACCCCTGCGGCGCCGACGAGATGGAGGTACCATGCATCTCCATTGTCGGCCATGATACTCTCGATCGAACAGAGGACCAATGTCATTGCGAGATTTGCTTCTACATTAGATGGATCGGATTCCAGCGTGACTCGTAAATCACGAAGCGCAGTGCATCTATTTTGCATAGCTACTTGGTCGAATGAGTGGTCTCGCAATGGGAGATGGGACGATGACCATGGGATCAATGTCGTGAGCAGCGGTGTACTGTGCATGGCCATAGGCAGGAATACTGTCATATTTTGAGTTAGTCATTGCGATTCCGCTTCCAATGTATTGCCGAGCCTATACCAGTAAGGAAAGGGTTTTTTCAATGTTGGTCGTTAGAAGATGCGTAAAGGTCTGTGTGTAATAGCGCAGGAAATGCCGACGACTCGAAGGGGACTTGCTGTCAGCACGCTCATCCACCCAAAACAGGATAGGATCGGGGCTTTGCTCTCATCACCGTAGGCAATGGGCCTCGGATCTTCCCATTTATAAATATAATTCAAGCGGACACAGTCCTTGCACACCGGGTAGCCTAAGTCACATCTCTTTTTCTGAAAGGATTTGTTAGCGCTCAAATGGAATAATAAAGGCGCTGATAACAGGTTTTACCTCTGGCGAGAGGTCAAGCAACCGGTACGTTCACGGGTCGTTCCTCGCTTCTTGATGACCCGCCGTGGCATAGTTCGCTCTGCGGATATAGTATCGGAGAGCGGCATAGTTCAACATAGGTCTCGGGGAAAGGATCAAAGTACTGCTGTGCAATTGAATCACGTAGGACGCTGGCGCTAATGGCGGACACTGGGATTGAGAGCAATGCGCGCGAGCGTCGGGCGGTTATCAAGACCATGAGGATTATCAACGTCGGGACCTGCGGGGAAGCCCGATTTTCGGAGTGGATCTTCTTAGTCTACGGTTCACAATCAATCACAGGTCGTGCGCTAAGGGCGCAGAAACTACATCCAATAAGAGAGAAGAGAAGCTTCCCCAGATTCTATACCTTTGGGGGTACATTGGGGAAGGGTTTCTTATCAGTAACCGTCAACTCAAAGTTGTCAGTATTCTGATTAACAGGAAGATACCAGGTTGATCATATTCTGGTCTGTCCACCTTATACGGTGACAGACAGCGAGGTAGGCGAGATTGGTTCTCTTCTCAAAATCGCCATCACAGACACAAGTAGGCCATTTCTTGGTGAACAAAGAACAATTGTTGAGGGCAAGCTTTAGTAGAGCTGTGAGCATTGTCCCAGTGGAAACAGTGTACGGGGTTTACGGAGCAAGTAACGGCACATGGTCAAATTTGTACTTAAGAGAAGAAGAGCGATAACTCAGAGGTCAGAAACAAGTCTAGCTCGAGTCTATTATGACAAAAGTACGCATCGCCAGGTTAAGCATATAGTAGGCAAGCAATTGCAATTGCAATCGGTTTTCAGGTTACTGCTTCAAAATTGGCTATTGCTTGGTAACTGGGCCTAGACCGTAAATGTGAGGTATTATCGGTCGACATATCTCAAGAGAACTTTAGAGATGTTATTATGAATCACCTTCTGCGTAGCCAAGATGCTATATATGGATCATTGTCGATCTTATCCCTGTAGCTCTTCCGCCATGTTCCTCGTTCATGGGACGGGGGAAGCAATAGCTGCTTTATATAAACTAACCGATGTTACAGAAATGGCTGGCTATGTACATAGCGCCATCAAACCCATAATGTATGAAAAATGTCTAATAATGATAATAAAGGTGGAAAAGCGCTGCTGACCGCCTCTGGTAGTCTGTAAAATCTAATCAATCCATTCTCCAGGTGTAGAAACATGCTCCCATAGGCTTCATTATGTCTCGCAATTATACACCTTGTTTTGTCCTTCTAAACACGGGAATATCTGGTGGTACTTCTCTAGGAGGCAGTCATATGGGGTTTTGATAGTTTGCGTGGCCCTTCCCTTGGCAATAAAAGAAGGTGAGCTCAAAAATAACAATCCCCACAGTCGGGCAAATTGTGGAGACCCAGACATAGGGCTACCTGGTTTCCCCGAATGCGTCTTATTGTGTATCAATCAAATGACGATCTTCAAATAATCCCAATGGACATAGGAAAGGGTAATCACGAATATGTATACCTATAAATAGGCCGAGAACCATCATCTGATTACTAGGGTCAACAGGTATATGATAAGGTATTTGATAGGAGTATTTAGAGGATTGTACTATCAGAATATTAGAATAGCTGCACTCTGGATGGATATATTTTCCGTTTTTTCCGTCTTCAGGCGAAGTGGATATCGATCATGATTTCCAAGTGTGGAAAACGGAGTTAATGCCCGAAGTTCCCTCAAAAAGGAAAGTAGATCAAACAGCGCAAACAGCGCCTCACGTGCCGGGGTTTTCGGCAGATGCCCTGAAGAGGATCACCCGAATGACATCTAGTTGCATGTATCCATCCTTATGGATGACATGCAGATGTGGTTTGATACATATACCATCAACGCCACAGTAGTCGGTCCAATCATGCTTGATCAGACAACCCCGCGGCATCTGACCGTCAATTCCCCCCCGCAACGATGTGTTGATCGCATGGTTGTCATTCCGGCGGACGAGAAGCTTTCCTCTTGAAGAAACAACCAGATGTGTTACTAGGTCTCCAAGATTTGTTGAGGAGCTTACCAAGATCTATGGTTCACCATCCTCCAGGAACAGGAAGGAAGAAAGCAACTTGGCGGACCCATGATGTAGTTTGCGCCCCTCCTCAGTTACTACGATGGGAAAAGTTGTTTGCTTCGATCTCCAACTCTCGGGGAAATGGGGGATCTTCGGAGAATTGCGCGCAGTGCGTCCAACGTGCTCTTTTCATTGAGGAACGGTGTACGGACTAAACAAGACACAAAGCATAGTCTACCCCGGTGGATATGGTGGAATGGGGTGTTTCGCCGACATTATGTACCTTCTCCAGGGGCACCATCCCGCATGCGGCCCATACCTCATTTATTGCCTCGGCCAACAACCGACAGCACACGAGAGGGAGTACAAATTGAGAATACTACTTAAACGCTAAATCTTCTCCCCGAAAGTGGCTTTGGAGCTTTGCAGTCCGTTCGCTTCCCCATCACATCGTCATGAAGCTCTCAACCGCGGGTGCCCTGGTCACCAGCCAAGCAGCCTACGCTGCTTCCGCCATCGACTACAACGCAGCTCCCCCAAACCTTTCAACTTTGGCTAATGGCTCTCTGTATGACACATGGAGACCCAGAGCTCATATTCTCCCACCGGACGGCCGAATTGGCGACCCGTGTGCTCATTACACTGATCCTGACACCGGTCTATTCCACGTTGGCTACCTGCATAATGGCAGTGGTATCTCGGGAGCCACGACCGATGATCTGGTCAAATTCCGGGACTTGAATCCCAATGGAAGCCAAATTATCACGCCCGGCGGCAAGAATGACCCTGTAGCGGTCTTTGATGGCTCCGTAATCCCCAAGGGAATTGACGGCAAGCCCACCCTTCTCTACACCTCCGTCACATCGCTCCCTATCCATTGGTCGATCCCCTACCACCCGGGGGCCGAAACCCAATCCTTGGCTGTCACCTCCAACGGCGGTCGCAATTTCACCAAACTCGATCGTCCACCAGTCATTCCCCTCCCTCCATCGGATAGCGATGTGACAGCTTTCCGTGACCCCTTCGCTTTCCAAAGCCCGGAGTTGGACGCTGCCGCCGACAGTGCCCCAGGTACCTGGTACACAGCCATCTCCGGTGGTGTCCACGAAGAGGGCCCTGGTCAATTCCTCTATCGCCAGGACCAGAAGGAAATGAGCCTCGAGAGCTGGGAGTATCTTGGCTTGTGGTGGCAGGAGAAGGTCAACACGACCTGGGGTAACGGTGACTGGGCCGGAGGATGGGGTTTCAATTTCGAGACTGGTAACATCTTCGGCCTGAACGAAGAAGGTTATAGCCTTGATGGTGAGATGTTCCAGACCTTGGGTACTGAGGGATCTGGAACTCCTATTGTGTCCCAGGTGTCTTCCATCCACGATATGCTGTGGGCGGCCGGCAACGTGTCTAACAACGGAAATGTTACTTTCACCCCAACCATGGCCGGTGTGTTCGACTGGGGTGCTTCCGGATATGCCGCCGCTGGTCATGTTCTGCCCGCAACCTCCCAGGTGTCCAAAAAGAGTGGCGCCCCCGATCGTTACATTTCGTTTGTCTGGCTGACTGGCGACCTGTTCGAGCAGGCCAAGGGTTTCCCCACTTCGCAACAAAACTGGGTTGGCACCCTTCTGCTTCCTCGTGAGCTGCACATCAAGACCATCTCCAACGTGGTCGACAATGAGCTTGCCCGGGAAAGCGGATCCTCTTGGCGTGTGGAGCGTGGCCAGTCTGGCATTGAGCTGAAGACCCTGGGAATTGACATTGCTCGGGAGACGCGTGAAGCTCTTCTGTCTGGACCGAAGATCACCGAGCCTGAGCGCACATCGAAGGAGGCTCTCCTCGTGCCTTTCCAGGTCTCCCCAACTACCAAGTTCTATGTCCTAACTGCCCAGCTGTCTTTCCCTCGCTCTGCCCGTAACTCCGATCTCCAGGCCGGATTCCAAGTGCTGTCATCCGACCTCGAAAGTACCACTCTCTACTACCAGTTCTCCAACGAATCGATCATCGTCGACCGCAGCAACACCAGTGCCGCAGCAAAGACCACTAATGGAATCGTCAGCACCAATGAGTCCGGTCGTCTCCGGTTGTTCGATCTGCAGGGCGATGCCCAGGAAATTGAAACTCTGGACCTTACCATCGTTGTGGACAACGCTGTCCTCGAGATCTATGCCAATGGACGCTTCGCCCTGAGTACTTGGGCTCGGTATGTATTCCTTGATAGTCGGCAACATGGCATTGGCTAATGATCTTTCGCAGTTCCTGGTACAAGAACTCGACTGACATCAAATTCTTCCACAACGGTGCGGGTGAAGTGACTTTCAGCAATGTCACTGTCTCTGAGGGTCTGTTTGAAGCCTGGCCGGAGCGTGTCTAATGTAAGAAAATAATGCGATGGGATGTCCATGGGGATAGGCTTGCTTGTATATATCAGCTGGGTGTCATGGGAAGCAAAATCTGGAGTTGAGTTAATAATTATGTAACCTAGTTAGTTCCCTGTAATTAATCTGGTTGTGCATTTCGAGATTCCTGTGGCAGTACCACCAGCAGGCTCCAGACCTGTAGGTTGCCGATGGGCTCGGGAAGCCGAGCCCGGCAAACCAACCCTGCCGACATTCTCACCTTCCGCCGGAGGCCTGGATACCATTTGCAAATGTGCCCAAATAACACTCCAATAGTTATTAAAGAAACCTTTGTACCGACGACTAACCTTGACACCCGAAGGAAACCAGCATGAAAATAAACTTATGATCGTCATGTTCACCTAATCATTAAGGTCA